TAAAGGTCGTTATGGTCGAGACACTTAAAATAGTAACATTTGTAACATTAAACACCTAGATTGACCGAAAAATATTTAAACGCATAAATAAAAAAATAGTATAGTTTGGACAAATTTTTTTATCGTCTTATTCATACTTCCTAAGAATGTATAGTTGGTCCCTAGGTCATATGAAATGACAGACAACTTATTAAGAATAGACATAAAAAAGATCAGATCCAATTTTTTATAAACTAGAATCTAATTTAAGTATTTTATCTTTTTATCCATCATCCAACTGAAAATTTCATTCCATTTTTAAGTTAACAACTCACACTTGGTATATATATAATCTCGACAAATATTTAATCTCTAACATATTTAATGTCAAAGCAGAATTTGTTTCGAAAGGCGTTGATGGGCTGCCATCTAATTGTCTCAATAAATATGATTTTGGGATAAAAAATTGCATATGAAACAGAGAAATGATACCAATATTTCTTTTCATACACATAAATCTTATGACGTTCTACCATACTTTTTCATGCTATATAAGTCTTTTTCCTTATTTATTATTTAATTTGAAGATTCACTTATTTATCACTGTCCTGCCTTGATTTATAATTTTATAATCTGTCCTATTTTATTTATTAATATTTTTATAATTTATTGTAATTATTCAATGTATGGAGGGTTTGAATAATTATAATAAATTACACTTTAGATTTATTCAACTTGTCGCTCGATTGATTTTGTAGACAAAGCACCATATAAAGTATGAAAGTAAAAGATGCCTTCGGAGGCAATGGAGTTGTTTGCCACAACTGATTTATCCTTACTATTTATTCAATACCCTTTTATATTTTCTAATTATATCCCTCTTTATATCTACATTCATTCCATTCTTTTATACTTTCACGTTACTAATTTTTAATTTAATATTAGAAGTTTAAATTACCAAAAATAAAATATATCAGGCGGACAGTTTAATTAAATTTACTTCCAAATAATCTTATAATCTCTCAATCAGACATTATAATCTTATATTATTTTCAAATAAACCAAACAAAATAATACAATATTTTCATTGTAATCTTATATCTACAAATGGGGCACGAGAGGAACTCGTTTAAAAACTACTCTTTGTGCGTAAACACTAATGATTTCATGGGATAATGAAGGGGACCATACATAAAACCAGTGCGTACACAAATGGGTTATGTATTGATATAAGTCAACGCATGCTTCTTACAAAATATATTCACACGCTTAATATTTTTTCTGATTTAATTAATTCAGGTCAACTCAACCCTTTGATATATATATATATATATATGAACCATTAAAGAAGTGTTGGGTGGAACCAAGTGCATGTCATGTGTTGAAGTGGTGCTTCTGTTTCATTTCTAGACACTAATTGGGTGGATCTTTTGGATTGGCTTTTAGTTTTAGGCAGCAATGATGGATGGAAATTATGTATTGGTCTATCGGCTTTTGCTATTTATATATTTCATTTTTTAAAAAAAATGGGTATTTAGAAATAATAATGAAATAACTGTCACAAGTCTAGAACATAAATCATAAAATAAATATAAAGTAGAATAAAAGAATACCTTATAAATATTCATTAAGTCATATATATATATATATCATTAACTTATGACAGATCGATAACATGGAGGCAAATCCAAGTGTAATAGTAAACGAATAATACTGAAATTCAAGGTTTCATCTGATTTTAACTAAGATGTTGATATTAAAAAACATCATTTGATGCCATTCTGGACTTGGAATTTGAGTGAGTATTAGATAAGACAGCTATACCAACAACCCACGTACAGAAAAAACTGGTCCATTCATTATGAAAAGTATACTTAATTTTTTATTTTATTTGAAATCAAACTTGCAATAATTTTTTAAAATATGAATTCACTTAAATCCCATGTTTTTAACATAATATATTTATCTAAATTGGACCATAAAATATAGAAATGATATTTTTAATATTATGATAAATTCAAATAGGAAAACGAATTTTGAAATTCAAGTAGAATTATTGGTAAGTAATAAGATTATGTCGGTGAACATTGAAAATCCCACTCAGAAATCTGTTTTACCTTTAAGTTCGCCGTACAATATCTTTGAAAGTTTATATATTTTTTTATTGTTTTTTACGTTTTCGAGTTTTAGCCTTTATTTTTGTGATATTTTGTATGTTTATTTCATAGTCTATATACGATTCCGTGATAATTTTTTAAAAAACTTTATTTCAACTATCAAACTTGCATTAAAATTATTAAGGATAATAATATATATTAATTTATCTCTTCTGACTTTAGCCAAGAATTATAATCAATTATTTTTAAATAGTAATCGGTATTTGATTCTTTTTAGGATGTATAGAAAACGATGAATCATGTCTCCTTTGTTTAGTCTTATACGACAATTTAAACATTAATCTCTAATGTTGATATCAGATATAAAATTATCATTAAATATTTGTAGATTGACATAAAATATAAATGAGACCGTCTAACAATAAATTCGATACTGACATATTTTTGGAAAGCATAACAGAAGTATAACAAAAATTCAGTATGAAATTCTTGGATACATACGAGGGAAATGTGTATTGTGAAAAGTGTAAAGGGCATTTGGAAGACAAGGATGGCTTCCCTTCCCCTCCACTCCAAGTTCTCACATAAGAGTTTGTGTCATTGTCCCACCCTTATTCAACTTCAACCACCGCACCCCACCGTCAAATGCCGCTCCTCCCATTTCTTTTACCATCCGATCATCCCAACACCATGGCCCTACCATTACACACAACTAAGATCCCAATGCCAAAAAAACCCTTTAAGAATCTGCATATATATACTTAATAAATGGACCAATGCCCTGCCCTTTATATTCTTATATTATTATATACTCCAAAATTATATCACCCAAGTTTTGCCATTACTGCATTGATTTCCCATATCTCCATCGATCCCTCTCAAACCAAACACCCAAAAAAAAAAGGGATGAATCGCTTTCAGCTTTGCTCCCTTGTTGTTACCCTCTTCCTTTTTACTTCCAGGACTCAAACACTTGGTGTTTCGGCCGAACATAGCAGACAACCTCGTCAACATGTTTTTCGTCCACGGTCGTCGTCAAATAGTTCCCCTTTTAAAGACCAACCAACCACCCATCTTGGTGAAGAAAAACGAAGAGTTCCGACCGGCTCGAACCCATTACATAACAGGAGATGAAAGCGAAGAAAACCGACTGCAAATAAACACGAATTTCAGATAATATCTCTCTTCTCTTTCTTCTTCTCTCTTTCTTCTTCTTAACCTTGCTTTGCTGTGAGCATACTTTTGGATGATATCAGTGACGATATCACAAATTTTATATACCTAGAATTAGTTGGTGAGCAGAGAGAGATTGTACAGACTAAAGAAGGTAGAGATGAATTAATGAAGTAAACTCTTCTATATTTTAGATTAAGTAGAAAGGCAATATCTATATATATGAACGTAGTTTCAGCATGATTTAATAGGGTTGAGTTGTTTTGCTTTTTTCCTTCCCTTATGAACGTGTTTTGGACTTACGATTGTGAACCCAGTTCTAGTTTTTTTCCTCATGGATTTTCTGAAAAACTGCAGCGAGAGAGAATACTATTACAGCTTTGTGAACCATCGTTATCATTTTTTTTGGTGCTTGGCACTGAATGCAATTCTGATATGCAATTCAAGTTAAGCTTTAGTACACGAAACCCAAGGTTTTGAATTGATTGAAAGCTGGAAAAAGAACTCATAAATTGCCACTTTGAATTTGGTTTTTCTTCTTCCTTTCTACAGTCTGGAACTTATGTGGAGTGATAATTGGAAGGAGTGTTTTCTCTCAGCTGCTGTGACTGAGAGGTGCAGGTCTTAATGGCGGTTTTTAATATCCCACTATTTCATACAACCACCATACAATTAATGTTTGATATCATCGCATACGATTTATTCCGCTTCCATAATAATTACTTTTTAGGTTCGACTGGGCTAAAAATATTGTTTCCAAATTTGAACTTTAATGATTTTAATAGAAAATTTTGTAAAGCCATTGGGTCTTGCTGCAGCAGCAGCTGCGACCCTCCATATTTACAGCTTGCCCTTCAGCTTATTATTGTTGTACCTGGACTTGCTTCCAGTTGTATGTACTTTGTGTTGACTACCCTCTTCAAGTTTTGTCCATATGGGTCATCCAAATCCCAAGTAAAGATTATCTTGTCCAAGCCCGGACCAGATAGGTCATTGGGCCAACCAAACATTCGCCTACTCTAGCAAACTAAGCCATTCCCATTATCTATTATTAACCGTTTTCCAAATCAAAAATAAATGGTTTAAAATCAAGGTATAACATTTTAATTCTCAATATTCATTTTGAGACAAAATAATCATGATTGGATAAAAAAATTAATTAATTGATGTCAATACTCGTCACTAATATCACAATTTTTACGTGTCTAAAATACTAACGAGATATATACCGCTCATACACAAGCAATGATATGATACACGACTAATGAAATAGTGAGACATATCACATGTATACAAATGACAACTTAACATGTATTATATATTTAAAATGATGATGTCACATATCCAAAGTGATGATATGGTACATATCATGTTATTACTTTAAAGATATAAGACTTACTAAGTCAACAAATGTATTTATCATTATTTAATTAACGAATTTCCATCCAATTAGAAGTCATTTTACCCTAAAATAAAATACTAAAGATATAAAAAATACTCCAAAAGTTATCAACATGTATTGGCGCAAATGAATTAAGTGTTGACTTTTATTATAAATTAAGGCGTGCTGTTTGAGCTAAAATCCAGCTCAAAAGAAAAGGTAAATTTTGTTAACGTATAGAAAAGAACTAAACATTTACCTGAACCGAAGGTAGATGCCACTCCTCGAATTTCAAGAAATGCAATGGACATTTACCTTATGTTTGAAAAGATGAAACCTGCAAAGATACCAATAGCAATGGACATTTACCCTAGGTTTGAAAAGATGAATTTGAAAATCCATAACTATAAATTGCAGAATACTGACTAAACATTTCGAACATAAAACAACGGCAGAGATTCGTGAATCCCATCAGTTTTGACCGATAGATAAATGTTTATTTTGCATGATATCTCATGGAGTCAACGAGTCATTGAAATAAAATGAAGAAAAAAAAGAGGAAAAAATAAAATAAAACCATGGCTAGTATTTCTGGATAACAACTGAATTAGCAATGCCGGCCTGCTCTACTGTTTGGTCTAAATCAGTCAATTGTTTAGGAGGGAAACCCATTGTCTGCAACTGGTAGTTTCTAGCTCCACCAGGCCATGATGCATCGATGAACCCACGGACATCTCTGATTGTATGATGGTAATTGAAGCGTGAGATCATGCGTGTACCGTCCGATAACCTTAGCTGAATAGAGGTTGTTGGCAACGATGAATCCACAACCAGCCCTGCAGATGGGGTCAATGCAGAGGTGATACTACTGGCAGCAGCAGTTGGCTCAGAGGGAGTAGGGCTTGAGATGCTACTTCCAAGAGTTCTTCCAACACCATGAAATGCACTTTGGTGCTTCTTCGGTTCCTGCACGAAAACAAGGGCAGAAAGGCAACATAATTGCAGGAACAGGCAAAAGAACCAACACACGAAGAACTTATAAGAGGAGAAATAATGGACGCACAGAATAGTTTTCATCCCGTCTAAGGAGGTGAAGTTCCACTTTTGTTCTCGGATCAGCTGGTTGAAGCTCTTTTGGACATTGAGACTGCATCACACTCTGCAATCAAGTATGATTTAGAATAACCACATTAGCATTTAGCAATCTATATCGAAAAAAGAAGCACTAGCAGAAACACAAACACACACGCTGGAAATTTTATAGTCTAACTTATCAAGAAAGTCAAAGGTTGTTCAAACATGTAATCTTCTCAATTTTACCTACAAACCAAACTTCTGTTACTCAAATTCTGAGTCAACTAAAAAATTCGAATAAATAGCAGCAAATAAACCCAAGGTTGAAGGTCCACAACAAAATAATGCACAGTGCTAATCGAGAAGCTTCAGTCACGAAGAAACATTAATGATTAACCTCTAAAGCTAATTGATATAAAACAATAACATCTAAATAAACAAAATCCTGAATCCTAACAACTAAATCTGTAATTCTTCAAACACAAATATATATATATACTAATTAAACCCTTGTAATTCATCAACCACGCATATATGTAATATATACATAATAACTGTACATTATTATTACCTCTATGAAAGAAGCATTGGCAGGATCAGCGAGTTGACGCAAAGGCCCATCATCAATTGTAAAACCATTCCTCCAAAAAGTGATAGTGTGATTGACAACTTCGGGTGGTGGCGGAGGAGCAGGTGCCAAGGTTTCCCCGGTGAGTAACCTTGCCGTCCCACTGAAGCTTCTCGTGCTCGAAGACGACGGACGGAAGTAATCGTCAGATCCTTCCACAGCTCCCGCTTGTCTCGCTTGATTAAAAATCGAATCCACGTCGTGAGGCTTCGAAGGATCTCGAACCACCATCCCACTGATCACCCAAATTAGCAAACTGAAAAAACAAAAATATGCTAACAAAAATCTAAGAGAGCAGTACAAAAAATTAAACCTTTTTTCACCTCCGGTGAAATAGTCCTGGCCTTCATCAGAGTCGCTGTCGGACCCACCGGGAGGGGTCCGGTTCAGATCGGCGAGGGTCCGAATTCCACGATCGTTGCCACCGCCGCCACCGGACGGTTTCTTATCAGTGCGGCGCGACCTAAGCCCGTAAGGGGGGCGAGAAGGGCGTGCAGGGGAAGGGGAGCGGGACCTAGAAGGCGATTGTGAGGGAGAATAATCAGGGGAATCAGAGGGCGAGGAAGTCAGGGAGTTGTTAATGGCGCCGGAGGGGGGCGGTGCGATCGGGTGCGATTGGTGTGCGACGGTGGAATTGCTGTCGAGGAAAGTGGAAACGGCTGCGTCGAGGTCCCACTGGTGGGATTCCAAAAAGAAGAGGGCTTCTTCTTTAGAAGAAGAAGTGATTTCGATGAAGGAGTTGATCAAAGCTGCGTTTCGATCGGCGGTCGGGTCACTGGGATTTTCTTGCCGCGGCGTTTCGTGCTCCATTGTTGAGTTATTTTGCGATAAAAAATAGTAAGGACGACAATAGTTCCCAACTCTTCACTCCAAGTAAAGAGCTTTGCTTCGACATAGAATTTGGGTAGATTTTAATCTCATTCTAGGCGTTTCCCGTTTAGTAACTTGGGGTCTACAATACGATGGCGTTTCTTTATTTTAGACATTTTATTCATCCATAAATTTTGATAATTTGAAGGAAATATACAAAAATAATATAAACATATATTCGCGTCCATTAACTTATTAACATTTAGGATAAATTATTTATTTAGTCACCTATCTATTATTTTATTTTTATTTTTATTACTTAATTATTTATTTTTAAGATTATATCTAACGTTTTTCGTTTTGATCACACATATAAAAATCTTAATAAATATATTGACTTGACATGATGTGACATTTCTATGCCAATGGAATGTCAAATGCTTTTCCAATTAAAACATGATTTATACGAGAATATTTGAACTTCTTTATTGAACTTTAAATCTTGATTTAACAATGGGTTGTTGGATATGTTATTCTCAAATATATCACCATTTAACTAACGGGTCAAAGGCTTGGGTTGTGTAATCAACAACAAGAGGATTAAATTTTGGACAAACGTCTGCGGCTACTGATGGTGGTAGCAACGAAACACGATGGAAGCTACTATATCATCAACAAGCAGAGGGTGAGAGAAGGTGAAATAAATTTTGAGAGGTTTTTTTGTTTGAGAATATGTAAAAACGATCTTTCAAAAATTCAGGTATCAAATTAAAAATTAGCAATTTTTATTAACGTGTCAGGTCAGTGATCTAATGGAGATTAACATTCAAGTGACCAAAATGTTATAACCCAAAAACATAAGTGATCAAAAGTAAACATTTTCGATACCAATGATTAAAACAGAACAAACCCAAAACAAAAGGGACCGTATTGAAATTGACCCTTTTTATTTTTTAAAACTTAAACATTGTTCGTTTGATCGTTCATATTCGAAAGAGAAAAAAGAAGTTTTAAAATCCAGTGTCGATCTGATACCGCATCCGATCATAGAGTTTGTCCTAAATTCGATTCATGGAGAAGATGATGAATCAATCAATGGTCCAAAATTTTCAAGATCGACCTTTCACCAATATTACCATATGCTGCTATCTCACTTCAGTTCATCGCTCTCCGCCGTCAAAAGATAAGAAGGTTGAAGCACTGTGCTCATTTTGACAATTCGTCGAACAATTTAAAAGCATCAGATAGGTAAAGAAGACATGCAACAACAACTAAAAACGAATATGTATATTTTCACTATTATAAATATTCAAGAAAAATGAAGGTAAAAGTAATACAAGTGGCTTCAACACCTTTAGTTCAATCACACAAGAAAGTATTTCACGATTCTCATCAACCCTATATATATATATATTGTTTCTAAAAGGAGGCAACCAGTTCTTGTTCATGGCTTTCCTCCAGCTGCAACAATCTTGCAAAAACCCCAACTAATGGCGCTGTGTTATATGTGCAGGCCTCCGTCTGCATATAATTATCTCTTTGGTCCATGAAATTATCTCGGCAATCCGTTCCCCCAATCAAAGCCCCAACCAACACATTTGGATTCGGCTCGGACAGACCATACCAATTGTCATACCCTTGGGTGCACCCAATGAACCCTTTGTTTTCTCTGTATGATACTATGGAGGCCCCTCTGTGGTGCACCCTTGTGGGGTACTTGGAACCATAACCCACTAAATAGCTCATGTTCATAGGGTTTGACCCTAGTATGTAGTATACTTGATATTTCGCAAAATTGAGGATCTCTTCACGATCCACCGTCCCGGAAGGGCATCGGAGGTGTTCGTTTGAATCGTAGAGGAAGTCGGAGTAGACAGTGAGAAGGAACAGCGCCGTCGACACATATTGCATGTTGTTCCATTGCCGGACATATAAAAGACCTCCCGGGGTACGTTCGATGTTGTCGTTTCTGGCATTGTTTTTGTTGAGACATGAGCATAGGTAGTACTCGGCTTTGGATCGGTATTGCTTCAGAATGTAAGCCTCTTGCTCCAGTTTTGCTCTCAACAGCAACTGCAAAACAACATTTAAAAGTTCATTATAAAGAATGAGATCGTAGATGTTGTTGGAATGCAGATATGATGAAATGAATTATTTAGATCAAATTCGAATTCGAGAGTCGTTGTCTAGGTAGAGAACAAGAATGTTTCATAGGATACTTTGGTGAGGAGAGAATTTACCTTTGACGCCAAAACTTGGACCCCAGCTGAACTCTGATATGGCCCAGACAATCCCACCAAAACAATGAGCCTCGTTAATTACGTACTTCAAGTAATCCTCCCTGTCGGTGGCTTCGTACAGCCACAAAGCTGCCCACAACAACTCATCCATGAACCCACTCACCGACGCATAGTATCTCTTCACCACCCCTACACTCCCATCGTATTTCCCTCTATACTTGTCCCCAAACTCAAACAACTACAACAAAATCAAAATTCACCGCCTCTAGTTTCAATCATCACATAACACGGTATTACTATTAGTTTATAAGCTAACATATGAACCTTGTTTTTCCTTTAATATTTACCTCTTGAGCATGGTGCAAGAGCAAGTGAGAGTAATGCGGGTTTGTTTCCTTGAACACAACGGAGGCTGCCGCCATTGCCGCCGCCGTCTCGCCCGCAAGATCCGACCCCGGGTTGTTCTCGTCGATCTTGTAGGCTCGGCGTGAGGTGGTCATGTCCTCCGGCCGTTGCCAACAGTAATTGTCGGTGTCCCCATCACCCACATAATGACAACAGTCGACAAACAAACCTTATGTGTTTGATATTATATAATTATGAAACTTAACACAAATAAATGTTTGGGAAATGGAACTACCTCCGCCCATAGTACATTTAGGCTGGTGTGTGCCTTAATGAAGTAATCCGTCCCCCATTTAATGGCCTCCAAAGCATGTTCTAGTTCGCCGGCATTGGCGATCTGATCTCGGAATTCGATGACACCCCACGACAGCATTGTCACCGTGAAAGCCATCGGGAGTCCGAATTTGACATGATCGCCGGCATCGTAGTATCCTCCAACTAAGTCCACCTATGACAGTAAACACAAAAGAAAGCTTTTCAAGTTAGGCAAACCATTCGTTTTTGAAACATTTCAATGAATTTAGGTCGGAGGCCATATTCCTTGTTCCAAGCCGTCGGTGAGGCCAGAATGGTCTCGCCAGGTGACGCGTTGGTTATAGGGTAACCGGCCGGATCTTTGGGATTCAAAGTAGAGGAGGCTCTTGGTTAATGCATCAGCGTAATCAAACAGTTGAGCTGTTGCGGAGGAAATGAAGAAAACAGAGAAGAGAACAAGGCAACAATGGGGAGCAAATCTCGGCATTTGTTGATGATTATGGATTAGCATCCTCTGCTCTTCCATTGTCCCTTTCTCTTTAGGGGTGAAGGGTAAATATATCAGAAGCACAACCTCTCGCCCTCTTTCTTTGAAATGTGCCTTTTTATACTATGGGTGGAGTTGAGTGACTCAGTGAGTGATCTGTTCACAATCAAAAGTGAGATTTGGTGGAAATTTGGGGTTTTTAGTTTTTGACCTCACCATATTTTTCTAACCATAGCCATGGTTTAATCCCAATGAATTTGTTATATACATTCATGGCAGATTCCTGATAGGTTTTTTTTAAGTACGTTGTAATATAATTAATGCTTTGGATTTAATATTGATTTAAATCATTAAAATAGATAGCTAAAGAATAGTAATGTGAATTATGTAATGGCCATGTGTGGAGCAAATAAGTAGGGAATTTATAAAGTGCAGAGAGATTTGTTAGAATTGTTGAACGGCTTCAGCGTTACAGACAAGAAATTCATCTCCGTTCCCTATGATGCGAGACTCGTGGGGGACTGCTGCTATTAGTGATAAAAGAATGGGGGAAAACAGTAACTGCCGACGGAGTTTTTAGGGCATGGTATGGAAGCTTCGCTCTCTTCTTCTTTCTCTGCCCGCTGACTTCTTCATTTTGGTCGCCATACAATAATGCATTCGTTCATTGTTCTGTCCATTTGAAAATAATTAAATTTGAAACTTTCAAATTATTATTACTATTCTTGTTTTTAACTTTTTTGGGGTGAAATCCTAAAAATAATTCAAACTGAAAACGGCGTTTGTTATGGCCCATCTAGAGACATATTCTAAATGGTAGCAATTTTTTATTAAAAAAATTATGTGGCGATAGTATCTATTGATAATTTTTCTTTATAAGTGAGAATATATATTTTACTCAAGACCTCTAAAAATTAATATTCTTCTTAGCTTTAGAGATAATTCAATAAATTCAAGAGTAAAGTACACAAATAGTCTCACGACTATAGGGTGATGATTTATTAAGTCTATCGACTATCAAAAGTTACAAAATGATCATTTAACTATATATATTGTTGTTTTGTTGAGTCCCTCGACTATTAAAAGTTATAAAAGGATCACCTAACTATTTAGTATGTTCCAAACTTGTCCTTTTCCCTTCAAATATTGACAATAATCTGAGTTGGATGTTAATATGCTGACTGAGATATGATAATTTATTTTAGATTATGGGATCATATTTTATCATATCTTAGTCATCAGGTTAACATTCAACTCAAACCATCGTTAATTTTATAATGAAAAAGGACGAGTTTGGAACATACTAAATAGTTGGGTGATCATTTTGTAATTTTTAATAGTATGAGGACTCAATAAAGTAACATTCTATAATTGAAAGTCTATTTTATAACTTTTAATAGATGAGAGACTCGATAAAACATCACCCTATAATCAAGAAATTATGTATGTAATTTTCCCTAAATTCAAATGGTAACAATATTTTATTCTCAAAGGGAAATTATTAGAACCATGTACAATTTTCAAAACCGTATATCATCACGAATTAATTATGATTGAAAAATAGTAATCATCGGGCTTTTGGACCCAACATAATGATCATATTGCTTCATATCATATGATTATAATTATCTCGAACCGGTAAAAAACTAAAAGCATCATAACATATTTAACTTTATTTATGAAATATATTACTATTAAATTTTAAAT